CAATATATATATATAATATTATCAAAATTGTGTGTTACATCGGATGTAGATCATTTTCTTGACATAAGGAAATCCTTTGATTATTGAACTCTACATACACGACTTTAAAAAATGTATACCCGCAGTTTGCAGAATAATAAACGTGGGATATTAAAATATACTTATTTAAATCCCGTAACAATGATAAGAGGATATTAAGGTTGGAGGAGACAGTATTCTTGGGGATGTACTTGAATGTATATAGAGATAATATGTATATGGTTGTATAATAATTGTCAAAAAATATTTTTTAATATGTCTATATTTACAAATAAATTTCACTTATTAACTATATATTTTAATATGGCATTTTCGTTAGTTGATTTTTAACTACGACAAAGCAAAATACATCCATTCGAAAAGCATGTAATGAAGTATCTAAACGTTATTCTTGGGGTGTACGAGAAAATTAAATGGCGGTCTATTATCACGAACAAGGATCAAACAAAAAAAATTATAAAATGCAATGTACAGTATACCTTCCAATTTATAATTGTATTTGGGATGGCGTGCAGCTTCAAAATAAACTTGCTGATTGGGTTTTGGATAATCAAAAGAGAAAATGATCTGAAGAGTATATTAATATTAGCAAATTTAAATTTCTTCAATGGCTTGATAGATTTTATTTTTGAAAAAGATTTCAAATCATCGAACAACTATCTCTTAATAAGTGACAGAAGAATATTTGAAAAACAGCAATAATTTTTAAATTTTCTAAATACAAACCTTAGAAATTAACAATTTGTTAAGTGAAAATAGAAACATGGATAATATTTCACTATTTGTTTGATCTTCACATAAATTTACATATTCCCGTAGCATAAAACTTAATGAGCAACATAAAAATCGAGTTCTTTATCAAATTTTCAAGTACATCTATCCTTCAACCAGCTACAGAGCAAAGGTAAGCAATGGCCTAATCCACACATCTGTAACACCGAATCTAACAATGGCTCAGCGTGGATTACAGTCAGACCTCTCTAAGTGCACGCCCTTGGAACCACACTTCAATAACGTGCATGTAGAGAATAATAAGAAAAAGTGCATTTATAGAGGTCAAGTATATATTTGGGCCCGCACTTGAGCGTGCATTTAGAGAGGGTGTGCACTTATAGAGGGTGCACTTAGAGAGGTCTGACTGTATTACTTTACCACGAGAAAAAGCTGGTTTGCAAGTTATTTTAGGTTGTATGGCAGATAGCTCAAACTTCCACCCGTTATTATTTTTAAGCTTAAATACGTTCCCATGAAAATTTTCCGGATATTGTAGAAACATATACGTACGTGCAAATGAAAAAGGATGGTGTAATAAAATTGAAAAGCACTGCTGGTATGAAAATCGAATGATCTTGGGGCTACAAGAATAGGATAATAATCGACTTGGTACCGAAGAAGGAAAGGTATTATCAGAGTTTCTTTGTGATAATACCACGCTGATTTCTTTTAATCTTTATAGAACAACGTAGTTTTGAATACCCATTTACTTTTATTTTGATTAACCTCGTCTTATTTTTGATGAATTAAAGGACTCCGTAAAACAAAAAATTTAATGAATAATACTGATATGGCTAAGTGCAAAAAAGACTTATGGTAAAGCTACAACCATTAGATGTTGGCGTTAATAAGTTTTTAAACAAAAGGTATTTAAGAATTAAGTATATCCGACCCCTATGGCCAACGATTTTATCCTTTTCTGCGTCAATATTCGGATGGAAGCAATATATCCTTTAATTACAGGACTGTTTTTAGGATTATACATTTAGTTTTTTAAATTTTATCTATACATTCAAATAAATAATTAAATTATTTTATTTAATAGGTTCGTTGTAAATATAATAATTGAATTATTGGTGACACGATTGAATTTCACATCTGAAAGAATCTCCTATACTACATTGCAACATAAAAATTCTTGAGACGAAATCGATAATGATTTAATTAAAATTTTACTTGATATTATGAAGAGTGTATGTAACAGAATTTGACTATAATGAATTTGCATATTTTGTTCACGATTGAGGATGATAATTTTGAATTAACCTGTTTAATCTTTATGAGCTTAAATATTCGTATTTATTTTTGGCAATGGGATAAACCTACTCGCACTTTAGATGGTTAGTGTTAGCTAGATGGGCACGTCAATAATTGGGCGTGTCATGGCATGCCATGTGCCAATTATTGGCGTGCCATGTGTCGATTATTGGCGTGCCATGTGTCGATTATTGACATGCCATTAAAAACTATTTGCGTCAACCCTATTTATGACATAATACTCCCAACATATTTATGATTTTAGGTACTTTGCAACTAACTATAATATCTGGTAATCCAATTATGTTATATATCAATTATAGTACTCAGACCTCTTACACTATACACTATAAATTACTATAAAATTTATATAGACCAAAAGGGTCATTTTCCCATTTCTTTTTTTTAAATGGTTGTTTGTTGTTGACAGGTTTGAAAAAGGTTTTTATGTTATCATTATATACAGTATATAATTTATATCACAATTCTAAGTTTACTTGTGTGCCTTCTGTCAATTTTGAGATTTATCATTGTGTACTACATAGACAACATTTTTTAAAATTTTTTCCAGTTTATTTAACAATTTTAGAATTATTTTTAAAAATTAATATTGCATATTTTTATCCCTTAAACCGTAAATTTTTGCAGGCAAATTTGCCTGCAAAAATTAGTCCAATAATCGCACGTATTTACTCCCGTTAAAGTCCTGTATAATTAAATTATCGATGTTCAGTCGGATATCGAAATTTCATTTTCGATTATCAGTTAGAAATTTCAATCCGACAGGCATCTTGTGAGTTGACTTTTACAGGGGTTATTTCATCCTTCTAAAAGGAAAATAATGGTAAGGTGCTATTAAAAATAGTTAAAAGTGGGATTGGTTAAAAACCCTGTATTGTAGTTTTCCCAGTTATAATATTACTTAGGCTTATGTTGTGATATATACAAGCTCTTCTAACAAAAACAATTTTGATCAAAAATTTGCAGGCAAATTTGCCTGCAAAATCGGTTTAAGGGGTCGCGAAATAACGCGCAGGGGTGAAATTACAAATTTCGGCCTAAATTAAGCTTAATTCGGGCTAAACCTCTAAATAACGCCCATGCCCGTTATTTCGCGACAATACGGTAATAGTATTTTAAAATCAATTTTAATGATTAATTCAATAATATGAATATATCAGTAGAAAATAAGTAGTAAATTTAAATTTTAATTACGATACTGTAATATAGTACTATTTACTAATTTTAGTATTAGTCTTAAACGAAAAAATCATCAGTGTAGTTTTAAACTACTACTATAATAATCTTTTATTAATTGAAATATTGGTGATAACCTATTTATTTCATTTTGTATTATCGAATAATGGCAATTGCAAAAAATTCTGTGCTACAGTAAAGCACGGGCCATATGCTAATTACTAAGCTTATAATTCAGATAGAATATGCTTCTGTAAAACTTATTATCTATTTGGATATTTAGATATTCAGATCAGGGGTTAAAATTGATATACACAAGGTGCACATGTGCAAATTTTTTTTAATATACAAGAATTTGTAAACAATTTATGCATATGTGTCAAGTTAGTTTTTTAAGGAAAAAAAAATTGCACAAAATATATAAAATTATAAAAATTATATTGGTGCAAGTAGAAAAATGAATTTTTAGCACTGATTTAGATAGTAATTTAAGCTTTGATAAACAATATTAGCTTAGGCCTTTATAGTATTTAACAAACCCTGCAATTCTTAATAGTATATTTCCAGTACTTCTGATAAATAACATGCATCTATACTTTATAAATTCATGAACTAGCAAAAAGAATAAATCAGTATTACCAAAAGAAAACGGAAATCTCAATTTTCGGATACTTCACTTTATAAAATATGGGTTACCAAAACCGCAGAATTTGTTTTCATGACAAATTTAAGTGATAATAAATGTCGCGGCTGATGCTGGAAATTTTAATTATTTTAATATGAAATTTTCAAAAATTTTTTGGGCTTTTTGTTAGGGGGTTTTTTTTAGGGTTTAGTGGTAGTTTTAATAATAAAAGAGTATAAGTAGGTTTTGGTAGGGTTTTTATTTTTAAATCAAGGTCCCTAATTTCCAGCATCAGCCGTTTCCAGCTTCAGCCGCGACAATAAATAATCACCATTTATAAAAATATGCAAAGTGGAATATCCGAAAAATTTCCCCCCAAGATACATTACCTTTAATGCACCTTCATGATCTCGACCTCCGGCAATCTTAATAGAATCAATAATTTTTCGAAATTCGGCTAGTTCTTCAGAGGTTAAATTAACATTAGCAGCTTGAATATTTTCCTCCAAGTATTTCACTTTTTTAGTACCAGGAATTGCAACAATGTTTTCACCCTGATTTAAATAGAAATCAATTAATTATATAATAATTTAACTTTTATTAATATAGGATTGATACATACCTGAGCTAAAACCCATGCCAAACAAAGTTGACTAGCAGGAATACCTTTCTTTTTGGCCAACTTTTCAATTTCTTTTACGAGTTCTAAATTTTTTGCAAAATTCTCTCCTACAAAACGAGGTTGTGCTCTGCGAAAATCACTAGGCTCAAAATCTTCAGGGGATTTATATTTCCCTATATATTTTAATTAAAATTATTAGTGTTATGTAATGATTTTCTGCAAAAAAATAAAATAAAATAAAAAAATAAAATAAATATATAAAATAAATAAAACAAAAAGCATACCGATAAAAAACCACGACCTAATGGACAATATGCGACAATTGTAACACCAAGTTCTTCACAAGCTTTTTTAAGTCCATTTTCTTCAGTGTCAAGAGACCACGGACTATATTCTACCTATATAATAATATGACATATAATGTAAAGATAAAATTCATTTAAAAAATTTAATGAAATTACATACCTGAACAGCAGCGATTGGGTGAATTTTGTAAGCTCTTCGAAGCGTATTAGCTGAACATTCTGAAAGCCCAATATATTTAACTTTACCCTTTTCAACAAGTTCAGCCATAGCTTTAACCGTATCTTCAATCGGTCTGTAAATAAGATCAGTAAAGTTATTACCATTATTATTATTATATTATTATTTGTTATAAATATTTTGTTGTATTAATTAATAGTATTAATGTAAAAATCGATTTACACGTTAGAGTCGACACGATGTTGATAGTAAAGATCAATACAATCAACACCTAATCTTTGTAAACTTTTTTCGCATTCTTCGTGAACATATTCTGGCTTCCCATTTACTCCTACAAACTTCCCATCTTCTGTGCGAACATAACCAAATTTTGTACAAAGAAAAACGTCTTTACGTCGATCTTTAAGAACTTTTGAAAGCAATATTTCATTGTTTCCAGATCCATATACATTCTTTATGATACGCAAAAAAATAAATTATATATAGTACTATATGATGTGTGTATGTCATATCACCCAATATTTGCATTAAAAAATTTCACTTTACATTATTCTAAAAAATATTTGGTCTACGTAGAGTATAAATTTTTTAATGTAGATAGTTAGGTAACGAAATTAAAAATTATGCTTACTGCGGTATCCCAAAAGACACATTTTAAATCAATCGCACGATTTAATACTTTAAAGTTTTCCTCCTCATCACTTGATCCATAAAATTCACTCATTCCCTTAATTAAAGAAAATTAATCTATATATTTAGCTATTCATTATTCACGGTTCTACCACAGAATCCCGAAAGTACCAAAATCTCCGTCAGGTTAAAATCCTGACAATACTAAAATTCTGATGTCATTAGTATTTTCGGGATTTTGATTTTCGGAATTTTGAGTGTCGGGATTTTGGATGTCAGATTTGTGGTAGAACCGTTATTCACAATATAATAAATGTAGCAGCTTATGCTGAAATTGAAATTTTAGATCCTAATTAAATTTATAACACCATTCACATACTATATATTTTTTTATTAACAACTCTAATTTTAAATCCTAACCTAAAAAATGTCTACATGAAAAATTATTATATGAAATACCAAAATCTATATCTTCAGGTTAGGGTGCATTATTATATATAAATTTCTAGTACGTCCAAAAAAATTTTTCTGGGTTTAGCATTGATTGATTAAAATGTAATTTAGTAACTAAAAATTTATCATTTGGTAACCGAATTTTAATTTAATTTCTCAAAGGCACCATATTATTTAAATCTTTATAATACTGGTATGTACGATAAAATAGGAATAGGTCAAAATGAATTTATATTATATATGTATAGTATAGAATCGCAAATATGTCAAGTATGCTATATTATACATAATGTATAGTGGT